TCTTTAGAAACTTGACAAGATTTCCTATTTAAATGAAAATGATTAGCAAAAAAACTGCTAACTGATTTAGCATGTTGCATGTTAAATCTACCAAGCACTCGTTCAACATACTTTCCTTGTGACAATCATAACTTTGCAGCTTTCTTATCTCGGATAATGTTCATACCAAGAATCTGTTTTGCTGGACCTAAATCATTTATATCAAAAGACTTAGATAATTGTTCTTTCAACTTGTAAACCATACTAGTATCTTGTCCTACAATCAACATATCATCAACATATAATAATAGGATAATGAAGTTACAATTAGAGAATTGTTTAATATACACACAAGAATTCGTTGTTATTCTTTTATAGCTATGACTCACCATAAAAGAATCAAACTTCTTGTACCACTGTCGTAGAACTTGTTTCAAGCCATACAAGCTTTTCTTCAATTTGTAAACTAAGTGCTCTTTTTCTTTCACTTTAAAACCTTCAGGCTGATTCATATAAATGTCCTCCTGTAAATCATCATACAAAAATATAATTTTAACATCAAGTTGCTCAAGCTCAAGATTCAAACTAGCTGCTAATCATAGTATCACTCGAATAGAACTCATTTTACAACCGGAGCAAAGATCTCATCAAAATTGATGCCTAATTTTTGAGAAAAACTTTTTATTACCAATCGAGCTTTGTACCTCACTAGTTTGTCACCATCTTTTTTCAACTTGAACACCTATTTATTCTTTAATGGCTTTTTCCTTTTTAAAAGTTTAACAAGATCATAAGTACCATTTTTTGTAATGACTTCATCTTTTCTTTCATTATTTTTAATCAGTGCTCTCTATCCAGAGTAACATACACATCTTGAAAGCTTTCTGACTCCCCTTCACTGGTAACTAAAATAAAATATGAACTTGGATACATGATAGATGGCCTACGCTCTCTAGTAGATCTCCTGGGCTGAGACTCTACATCACTTGATGCCGAAGGTAGCTCTCCCTGCTTAACACTCTCAGGTAGAGAAGATTGCTCCCCCTGCTCAAAACTAATTGCATCTAGCTTATCATAAATTGTGACTGGCTTATTCATATCCCCAAGTTTTGTTTCTTGCTCATTTCTACCATCTGTGGCTCTTTCTTATGAAATCTTTATCGGTGTTGAAACATCACACTTAACAGTAACCCGTGTAGTCTTCTCATTTTTCTCAAAGTCTGCTATGATTTTTTTTATGAAAGAACACATCTCTGCTTCTGACTGTCTTTCTTTTTACTGGCTCCCATACCTTATAGCCAAATTCTCCATCATCATATCCTACAAATACACACTGTGTGACTTTACTGTTAAGTTTTGATCTCTGCTCTTTCAGCACATGCATGAATGCTTTACATTCAAAAACTTTCAAGTGAAAGTATGAAGTATCTTTCTCTATCCACACTCTTTCTGAAATGTCAAAGCCTAAAGGAACTGATGATGACCTGTTAAGTAAATAACAAGCTATGTTAACTGTTTTACCCCAGAATAGCTTTGGTAATTTTATCATCCTCAACATATATCTGACTTTTTTTACAATGGTGTGATTCATTCTTTTAGCTATACTATTATGCTGCGGTGTTCCAGGTTCTGTCATCTCATGCCTGATCTTATGCTTTGAACAATACTCTTCAAAGCCATTAGATATGTATTCTCTACCATTATCAGTTTGAATATACTTCAAGGGTAATCCTGTCATCCTTTCAACCATGACATAAAATTTTTAAAAATACTGTAATACCAAATTTTTTTATTTCAACATATACACCCAAGTCTTACGTGAAGCATCATCAATAAAAATAATAAAATATCTGCTATCACTTAATGATTCAACCTCAATTGGATCACATACGTCAGAATAAATTAATTTTAATCTATTTTCTTTTCTCTAAGAACTTTTACGAAAAAAACTCTATGATGCTTACCAAACAAACAATAATCACATGAATCGAGAAACATACCTTTGATTAGGGGAATAAGAGACTGCCTTGCCAAAACTTGTAACCCCTTTTCACATATGTGTGCTAGCCTCATGTGCCACAAGTTTGTTAAAGCATCATCTTCAACGGTATTTACCTGGTTATTATTCAATTGTATCAATGTCTTATACATTATGCAGCATAGTTTTTTTTTTTACAACTACCATAGATCTTTTGAGAAGCTTCCACTGTCTATTCTTTTGTCAACTTTCATATCCCCCTTATCAAGGACATTAATAGCAAATAAGCTCATTCTCATATATGAAATGTGTCTGACATCCTTCAAAGTTAACATGTAACCTGTATTAGTTTGTACAATAATATCATCAATCCCAACAATCTGTCATACACTCTTTTTTTCTATTTTGGTATAATCAAAGTCTCTTATTTTGTAAGTTGTAAACAACTCTCTCTTAGGAACACAATTATATGTCGCTCCTGTGTTAACTATTCACTCAATGCTGGGATCACTAACATGATTACAATCACCATGTGTACAAATCAAAGTAACTGAATCACTATCTGAATTCACTGCTGTAATTTACCATCATCTGAACTTTTATCTTTCTCATCTTTTCACTTTTGCTTCAAGATTTTACAGTTTTATTTTATATGACCTGCCTTACCACAATAGAAACACTTCACTTTATCTCTAGACTTGGATCTATGTTTAGACTTACCACGATTTTTTGAGTGCTGACCTCTGTCGATGTTTTTACCTCTGTTCTTTGTGACCAGAGCTTGATTCTCAGGGTCTGCATTTTTTTGCCTTACTTTTTCATTAAGCATACTGTCTTTTACCATTTCCAATGTCACCTTATAATTAGGAGCTGAATTAAGAACAGTCACAATTAGAGTATTTCAACTGTCTGGCAATGAACCCAAAAGAAATAACGTCTTCATTTCATCATCTATATTAAGCTCCATAGTAGTCATCCGATTAAATATATCTTAAAAATTACTCAAGTGCTCTGTAACAGATCTTTAATCCATGTACTGTAAAGTTATAAACTTTTTAACAAGCATAACTTTATTCATACCTATTTTTTTCTCATACAATGCTGTCAATTTTTTTCAAACAATGTGAGTATCTGACTCCTATGCTACATGATGGAACACGCTAATATCAACCCATTTTTTTATTGTAGCCAGCGTTTTTCTACCTAGCTTCTTCTAGCTTTCATATTTCATATCTGCTGGTTTAGTCGAATCACTCAATACTGACTCATACAAATCTTCACAGTATAGATGATCTTTCATCATAGGCTTCCAAATTGAATAATTCGATGCTATCAATTTTATCATGAAACCTGTATCACCCTTCATGATCTCAAACAGAATTTACTTCTATCCTGGGTTGCTTCTGTATCGATGTCTCAAAATAACCCTCGTTTTGATACCACTTGTTGTGCCTGAAACAATAATCACAACAATACAGAAACAATAGACAACAATCAATAATCAAAAAACGTAAAAAAAATAAAGCACACCAAGATTTACGTGAAAAACCCTCAGTGTAGAGGAAAAAAACTACGGACCACCAGAAAAATCTTCACTATCAAATAATAGGTATACAAAGTTCTTCTCTAGCTAAAACTAGAGCTAATCAACAACTAGAGAAATAATTGGAGAAATTTTACCAAATAAGTGATTCAACAAATACACCCTAAATTTGTTCCTAAAGAGCTTCAAACCTGATCTTCACCGTTCAAAATGTAGAACTCTGAATCATAAACCTCTTGACAAAGTTCCAACTCAATCGGATCACGGATCGACTTCCGTTCAACCAACTCTCCCTTTTCCTTTTTCTCTCTGCTTTTTCTAGCTTTTCTTCTTTCTTTACTTGGTTTTCGATACCCCCTTAAAACAAACCCACATCTTTTTTATTAAGTAGTTAGGTCTTTGTGTAAAATGAAATATCAAGGCCTATGACCTTTACTTGGTCCAAAACCACTTACATGGGGCTGGATCCTATTTTCCTAACAAATACATGGAAAAAAAGTATTTCTCACTGAAAATGAATCATGTAAAACGAGTTAATTTTTGCTTGGAAAAATAAGTAATTCCAATAATTTCAAAGAATATGTATTTATATCAATCACAAATTCACAATCAGAAGCAGTCACAACAAAGTATTACAAACAAAGCTGAAAGTCATAGAGACTTAGCACTAGCCACTCATGACAAACTGCATTAAGCACTACTACGATGGAGTTGCAGGAAGCCCATCCTTACTCGAAATGTACACCAATAATTTCTGTTTAACGTTTTTTATTTCATTTTTATAAGTTAAAATCGTCTGGTTTTATTTTGGTAATGTAAACATGTCTTTAGCATGCATCATACAATGAACCTGGTGATAAGTATTTCTTAATGAATATGCATATATGCATTGACCTTTGAATCTTCTTAAGATTTGAATCTAAACCTTTCAAAATTAACAAAGTTAATGTGTTGTCCCATAATACATGAAAATCAAAATCTTATTTATGATAAAATTTCTATTTTTCTCACACAATGCCCTTTGAATATTCTTAAGATTTATGAAAAATTTAATTAAATAAACTCTTCGTATCATGCAACTAGGATTTCAAGAAATTTGGGTAGTGACATATCATTTAAAATTGTCATATAAGTGAATAATTAATTGGATCATGTTTTTATTTATATGGTGAATTTGTCAACTTTAAGCTGCAAATTAACCTAATACTAATATGGTGATATCAGTACATCACATCTTAATTTTTTATAGCTAATGTAATAAAAATTATCTATATATAATAGATGTAGAACAATTCAATTAACGCCAGAATCAAGAATGCTTACAAAAAAAAGGAAGCGGGAATCAAGATTTTTCTAGCTTTATCAGGTTTATGCCGAAAATGAAGTGCCAGAACAATACACATCATGTTCATTTTGTTTATTTCGAGGCAAATCATGAAACATATATATAGAGCATAGATTATATGTAATCGGCTTGTCTGAACTCAAAATAATATAAGTTACTGTAATTGGAGGACATATAATAATTAGTCTGGCAACTAGAACACCAATTTATTTTTTATGGAAAAGCTAATTTACATGATCAACAGCCATATAACATTGTTATTTTAATGGCTAAGAGCACTTGAGAGACCTCTTAAAAATTTATAGGAAACAGCAAGAACAGTAAGTACTAATTTATAGGGGAAGCTAAGCGCAACCCTTTGAACGTGCTATATATTCATGCAACTGGATAGGAAGATTTCTTGGCGATGCCACAGAGACCTTTTTTGGAAGCAACATCTCTCTTAATCCTCATGTATCCACTTTCACCCCAGGATTTGCCCCATGAGTTCTTGATTAACCAGTATTTGGTACCATCTTCACTTTTCCCATACCCAACAATGGCAACAGCATGGTTCAAAGAAGTTCCACATGGTCCTGTGAAAACCCCTCCTGAATAAAATTGAAATTCAGGTCCCTTGCTATTAAGGCACACAGAGACAGGTTGCTGGCTCGCAGCCTTTAGTAGTGCTTCTTCATCTTTATGAGGTACATCTTCGTAGCCGTTGATCTGCACAGCTCTGACAGCTGCTTTCCGATGGCTGCAATTCCCATCCTTTGACGTGTATGGGTATTTTGTTTCCTTGGCGAGACCATGGTTTTTTACAATGTATTCAAAAGCATCATCCATCCAACCACCGTAGCAGCCTTGAGTTTTATGGATCCTGGCGCAATCCACCAGTTGCTGCTCAGAGAGTGAGAACAACTGACCAGTTTTAATCTTTATGACACCTTCCACAGCTGCGACAGCTGAGAATGCCCAGCAACTTCCTGCATAGACAAGCAAAAACAAGTTTAAACATCGTTAAAACAATTAATAACTTGTACAGCTAATTTGATTTCTTACCACAAGCACCTTGGTCCTTAATTTGGGTGACAGCCCCTTTCTTCCTCCAGTCAATGCTAGCTGGAACATTGGTCAGGTTTTCATATTTAAATCTTTTAGTTTTGAATGAAATTTTGCTAGGAAATATCTTGTATCCAGCATAGTACGCTAGGAATTCTTCATTAGTTAAGTCCGCATATTCATTGGTGCTTAACTTATAAGTTTGATTCCCCATGTTATTGAAGTTTTCTATGTATTCCAAGTTCTTTTTGAATATCTCAAAACGCATATTCTCCTCTTCCTTCATCTCATAGGTGCGTCCATGCTGAACCATCCATTGCTTGTATTTCTCAGCAAGGATAGTTTCATCCAAGATGCGGGACGAGGCAGATGCCAGAGCCCCGGAAACAATCAACATGAAAATGAGAAACTTATTTTTGAGTGCGAAAGTCATTGCTCAGGCCACAGAGTTTTGCTATAAAGAGAGTACCTGTTCAAATGGCTTTTTATTACACCCTCTGAAGAAGTGAACGAGCAAAGCATACGAGCTATCTATTTATAGATGATCCGGTAGCTAGCATCCTCTTATTGGCCAAAAAAAAGTAGTAGTAATTATCTTTCCAACGCAAATTTAATTGAATGATGATGACGATGATGATGAGAGGGTTTACTCCAGACCAGTTCAAGGAGGTGACAATGTTGGGCTAAAAAGCCCCAATTCAATCACACCAACGAAAGCATAATCGAACAATCAATTAAACACACAAAAAATAATAATTTAATGTGGTTCGGTCTAACCGATCTACGTCCACGGACGGAAAAAAAGATCTACTAGTTGTAGAGAATTACAAACATACATCAAAATAATCTCACTCAACAATCAATACCCATAGACCCTCTCAATCTCCTCTAGTTCTATGAAGTATTCTTAACCCAAACAAACACAAACCCTTGTGCACTCTTTCAACACAAACAAATACATACTTATATATACCCATTTATCATACTTATGTGAACCCTCTCAATCTTCTGAAGTCCACTCCCAAACATTCAAACATACACACCCATAAGACGTAAATCCTCAGTGCTCCTATGGGGTGTCTATCCCACAAAATCTTATAACTCTTTTATAACTTTTTCTCATACTTAATCTTGTAAAGACTTCATCTATTTATAGCCATACAAACTTACCTATTAAGAATCCATTTCCTCTTAAAATTTTTTTTTTGCAAGTCTTTTTGTCCATCAAGTAATATATGATAAATCTCAAACAAATCTCCTACGGGATTTGAGTCATTATTCCTAACAATCTCCATCTTGACTTAAATTTCATCAATCATTTATTTTCATGCTAGACATGCTTGGCTCCACCTGCAAAGAAAGTCTCACACTTATATTCTTTTCTCTTGTGTGTCTTCACGCTTTATGCAAATCAATCATCAATCTTCAAAACATAAACTCAAATTCTTCTCTTGAATCGGCTTCTTCTAAGCTTGCCTCTTCCCATGTCTCGAACCATGTTCTGATACCACTTCTTAACCTTTAGCTCTTTTCAATTCTCGAACCTTCAACTCTGATACCACTTGTTGGGGATCACCACAACTATGATACCACTTGTTAGAAAATCAACATAGCTCTGATATCACTTATTGGGCCAAAAAGCCTTCAATCTAATCACGTCAACGAGAGCGAAATTAAATAATTAATCAATCACACAAGAGATAATAATTTAACGTGGTTTGATCCAATTGACCTACATCCACGGATGAGAAATAAGATCCACTAGTTGTAGAGAATTACAAACATACAAATCAAATCATCAACCTCACTCAACAATCAATACTTATAAGATACTCTCAATCTTTTGTAGTCCTATGGAGTGTTCTCAATCTAAATAAACACATACACATGTGCACTATTTCAACACAATCAAACACATACTATATGCACACATATATCATACCTATGTGGACCCTCTCAGTCTCCTCTAGTCCACTCTCAAACATTCAAACACACACCCTTATAGAACGTAAATCTCCAATACTCCTATAGGGTGTTTATTACACAAAACTTTATAACTCTTTTACATCTATTTCTCACACCTAACCCTGTAAAGACTTCATCTATTTATAGCCATACAAATTTGCTTATTAAGAATCCATTATCTCTTAGAATTCTTCTCCTGCAAGTCAAACTTACCTATTAAGAATCATCTGTCTCTTAGAATTCTTCTTTTGCAAGTCTTCTTGTCCATCAAGTAATATCTGACAAATCCCAAACAAATCTCTAACAATCTCAAATAAATCTCTTATGAAATTTGAGTCATTATTTCTAATAGACAAAACTGTTGATTTAACTTCCCCATACGGGTATAAAATTTTCAAGAGAAAGCTTATAAGTACATCAAATTCAGGCCCACAAAACCAAATTTAATTGCATTTTTTTTTTTATAAAAGAGGTTCTTACAAGATAAGAAAAATGTTGCATGACTTGATATTTAAATTTTAAATTTGTTAAATATTAGTTTGAATAAAATTATATAAATAAATTAAATTAAATTTAAGTTTATTTTAACTTTGTTGTGACTCATTCTTGTATTATTAATAGGATGATTTTAAAAGTAGAATGTCAAAAAAACTTATAAAGGCTTTTTTCTTCGCTAAGGATAGTTATAATATGACGTTATTTGATTTATTTAAGTGGAATATTTTTTTGTAAAAAAAAAAACTAGGAATAGTACTAATTAATGTAGAGCTGGTTAATTGAAGAAATACGTAAAAAAATAAATGTAAATAAGTATGTTAAGATGCTTTTAATATATAAGATTAATATAAGATATGATAATATAAGATATATAGGATTAAATTAGATGATATCATCCTCTCTCATAAAGGAGTATGATAGGATGATTTTTCTATCTTTTATAATATTTGTTACGTGTAGGATTAAGAGTAGGATAAAATAATCTTTTAATAGTCAAAATTACTCTTTTTTTTAAATAAAAATAATTTAAATTTATAATTCTTTATATAAATGTAATTAAAAATATTTTTAACTAAAAGAAATAGATATTCTAAAATAATTCTATAGATAAGACTAAAATTTATTTTTTTAAAAAATATTATTAACTAATTTCATTTTATTTTCTTTTCACTAGTTTCATTTTATTTTCTTTCTTTTTAATTTGTTTTCTTTCTTTTTTATAATTTAAATTTAAAATAATTTATGTGATAGAGAACTAGAATTATTTTTAAAAAAAATATTTTTAAAAAATAGTTTTTTTGAAAAAATTATCAAAAATATAATTTTATCTATTTTCTTTCCTTTTTATTTTTCTCTCCTTTTCTTTTATTCTCCCTTTGGACAAGAGGATGAAAAAAAAAAAAAAAAAATGAGAGAAAAGAGAAGACCAAAAAGAAAAATGAAAAAAAGAAGAAAAATGATACTATTTAAATTTAATAATTCAAAATTTACTAATTAAAAATATTTAATTTAGAATAATTTTTATGGTTAAGAATTAAATTAAATTTTTAAAAAATAATTTAAATAATGACACTTTTCATCTTATTAAATGTTTAAGTTCATTAAAAAATGTTTGTCTAATTTTAAATTTAAGTTTTAGAAGTAAAATAAATAATTTATAAGAATTTATGATTTAATCCCATAATATTGAAGTAAGCATTTCTTTTTGGGAGAATTAAGTCATCCTATATTAAGAGAATCACTACTCCTTTTTATAATCCAATCTTTCTTATTATATGTGTATCAAACAAAAAATTAAATGATAATTATCATATCTTATCTATAATACTATGTGCCAACATAAACTTACTCTTCTATATATTTATTATGTATAAAATAATGCAATAAAAGACCTAAGCATGAACTGATTACTTGGGCACTTATGCTTCTACTATTTGAATTATAGTATTTAATTAGGAATCTTGGAATATAGAAATCGGACAATGTATCAAAATCAGATGCTCCAAGACAAATTTGACCGTAAGTGTCATCCAGAAGTTCCAAAGTTTTTTACACTATTACACCTTTGAACGTCAAACTTTTGACGGCATACCGTTGGTCCCCCAAACGATGATGGGATATGTCGGATTTTCAGATGAATCAATCCCGCGCATGGAACGTTTTCACAATTATGCCAATTTTCCCTTGGCTAATTAAGCGGCTTCAGGGCTCACTGTTTCATAAGCTTAAACAGTAATGAAAAACAACGTAAGATCGATTTTCTGTTTTGGCCCAAGATCAATTACTGCAGAACCTTGAATATGGTAATCTATGCTCGGAAATTTCTAATGGCTTGGCTGCCAATGTTGTGCAGGGACGATTCCTTCTTGGTGGCATCCAGCTTTGGAAGTTGTGGGAGTTCCTCTACATCTATTGCTATCAAATTAAACAATTCATCCAAGTGGGAAAAGAAGGGGCTAAGTATATAATAAAAGAACAAAATACTAGCTCCCTGTATCTACTCATCAAGCATGAAAATAGGAAACAGAAACATGAATCTTTGGAAGGCATTAACATATATAAGTATGCAATAGAAGAAATAACAACTTATTGAATGAGCAACAAAAGTTAAAACAGTTCAGTCAGATGAGCATTAGATTGTTAATTTGCGTAACAGATTCCAGAGCTAGTCAAAACTAGAAATTACGGAAACAAAAGACTTATTGAAGCCGAAAAGTTTGAACAAACTCTAGGGTATTGACGTGATATAAGCCAATCAGAGAAAACAAATACAAGTAGTACGTGTAAAGCGACATGGACGACCCAACCCTTTCTTTTTTCTTTTAGTTTTGGCTGTATCCCTGTTAAAGAACACGTGGGTCTGACTAAGAATATTATTGACTGCATTAGAATCCAGAGGCCAATCTCGGCTTTCTTATCTTTTATGTGGTATTCTGGCCCTTCTTCCACACATAATAGATCATCTATACGGTACATACTATACAGATAGTGAGGCTTTATCCAGAGTGCGTGATGAATGCTTTACCTTCAACAATTAAATGTTTAAGAGACTGAGACTTTTGACAGTACTTGAACGTTTGTCAATTTTTTTAATTTATATTTTATCTTTGTTATAATTAAAATTATCATAAATTAAATTAAAACTAAAAATTTAATATTCTATTAATATATCATCCACTCGATGAATTATGAGCTATATATTATTAATGCTCTAGCTCTATTCATATTCAATAGTATACCTGAAAGGTTAACGGTCAAGGAAATTGTCATCACATCACAATATTAATACAGCAAACACGCGATGTTGGCTTTAGCATTTGTCTTTCTAATAGAGTCATGCAATATGCAAGATCGTCAAACTTTTTTTTTTTTGTATTACTCATACTATAATCATGTTCTATATTTATTATTCTTTCCGTCTCCAAATATTTGTTATGAATTAGTTTTTATAAAATTTTAAAAAATTATTTTAATATATTTAATATTAAAATTTAAAATTTTATGATTTTTATGTAAAAAAATTAAA